AAGCATGGATCTAACTTGTAAGACTCCCAAACCAAGCCAATACCCTGCATTTCAAAACGTAACAATAAGAGTCAAAGTAAGCATGGATCTAACTTGTAAGACTCCCAAACCAAGCCAATACCCTGCATTTCAAAACGTAACAATAAGAGTCAAAGTAAGCATGGATCTAACTTGTAAGACTCCCAAACCAAGCCAATACCCTGCATTTCAAAACATAACAATAAGAGTCAAAGTAAGCCTCATGTCAACACATTTATGAAGTTGAGTTTATCTCGTTGCATACCAGCATTTATGAGCAGACACCGGGACATATACATATAGTCATTTTATAAGTTAGGAGTACCGTATTTGTCTTTAGTTCAATTAGGAGCCAGTGCCGTGAAAACATCGTATTTTACACCCCAATTAAGTTAAAACAAAATACTGTACGAGGAGAACTCCAAAAAACTACACTGTTTGAGATGTATAAGAAAATATTAAATCAATCACTATGAATTATCAACACTAAATGAGTCAATCTGACAAAGAAATGAATCAAATCGAACAGTCTGAGATGAATCAAAGGTCTATCTACATATCAAATATCTAAGCAATTGGACTAGTCATTTTTAATAAAAAATAAAAGATAGCATTATTTTCCCCAAAATATTCACTAAAATTAGAGAACTCATCACAAAATGAACAAATCTGGGAGACAACCACCAATGGTACATTTGTAGAGAGTATGAAAACCCATACAGGTGTTTTTTTTTTGTGAATGCGAAGTCGGTGACAAACAGGCAATCAGTAAAACATTGTCTACAGTGGCTGCAGAGATAAAAGCTTACCTCTGCTATGAGTGCTTGTACATCTTTTCTCAATCCAGCAACTAATAGAGATATACTTGGTCTATCTTCAACCTGAAATGCACCACATGTATGCATGGTGGAATTGGCTATCATTCGCACAAAAACTAATTCTTCTTGTGATATTAACACTTGTTCATTATGTAAACTGTTTACACAAATACATATGCTTATGTCAAATATAGTAATGACTCAAGAAAATAAAAATATGATAGATGTCTTACCTTTTCACATGTACGCTCATATGTACGTACACTTTCGATTAATGATATTGCAAACGGGTACATCTGATTGGCCTGATGAGCTTTGTTGACAATCGCTAATGGTACGCGAAAACCAAGCCATTTCAAATTCCGAACCTAATTAAAATAAAAAATTAGTTTACATTATACAGATAAAATTATACAGTTTTTACAGTAATCATCTCATCCCCCTTAATCACCAAATAAATCAAATTCTTTCCTGAAGCAATCTACATACAAGCAAATTGCAAAAGTTTGGACCAAGCATTTTTTGAGAAGTTTTGTGATGCAAAAACGAAACTTGTATATTCATTCAAAAAATATTTATATAAAATATTTTTCCAAGATGAAAATCAGAGCAAACCAGAACAAAAATACAAAATACATATTAACTAAATATAAATTACATTGACAGTGATAATGTTAATGACGATACCTCTTTAGCCAGTGTAATAATCTCTGGTAAAAAATTCACCCTCAGTTTCAAAATATTTCCACCTCTGCCACCACGAGCACGCTGACTTTCAATAGCAAATATTCTACCAGAAATTCCCAAGTGCTTTTGTTGAACCTATGAAACAAACATATCAACAAATGAATACCCCCGGTAGTCAACCAACAGTACGGTACACGTGCAAATACACGCACGGTACGGTACACGTGCAAATACACGCACGGTACGGTACACGTGCAAATACACGCACGGTACGGTACACGTGCAAATACACGCACGGTACGGTACACGTGCAAATACACGCACGATACGGTACACGTGCAAATACACTCACGATACGGTACACGTGCAAATACACTCACGATACGGTACACGTGCAAATACACGCACGATACGGTACACGTGCAAATACACGCACGGTACGGTACACGTGCAAATACACGCACGGTACGGTACACGTGCAAATACACGCACGGTACGGTACACGTGCAAATACACGCACGGTACGGTACACGTGCAAATACACGCACGGTACGGTACACGTGCAAATACACGCACGGTACGGTACACGTGCAAATACACGCACGGTACGGTACACGTGCAAATACACGCACGGTGCGGTACATGGGCCAATACACTCAATACAAATAATTATTGAATTACTTACTTTTCGTGACCACTCATCAAATAATTCTTGAGTGTTCAATTTGGCTCGGAAACTATCCCCATCTGCTTTTAATTTCTGGCCTTCTACATGATTTTCCCATCCTTTACCAAGCACATCTTCAACACGGTGCATATAGGCAGTCAGTTGTCGCTCAATCTAATTGAACAGAAGACATGAACGTTACAGTTCCTGTTTGAAGAAGTATTCACAAAATTAAATAATTGATTTAAATTTAAAAATAATAATTTAAGAAGTATTTTAACAATTTTACGTATTTCAAAAAAAGAAATAAACTCAGCACAGTATTGTCAATGTGCAGTTGTTCTTCAATTGCTTTGAGAGGTGATTATTCGTGAAATCATGACAAAGACCCACTTAGAATACTCAGATATGGAAATAAATTTTAGAGCCAGTCCAACACAAATTATATTCTTCATCAACATGCAAAGTTTAATTATTATCAGCTGCTGAATTGCTGAGAATGTAAATGTAAATGCAGGCAGACTAAAACCGTCATCCAATGATCAAATTGTGAACCAGCAGCTGAATAATACACGACTGGCGACAACAAACTTACCTGTCTTGCCCAGATAATAGAGCCTGAAACAGGTGGTAGATCCCGTACACAATAATACACGACTGGCGACAACAAACTTACCTGTCTTGCCCAGATAATAGAGCCTGAAACAGGTGGTAGATCCCGTACACAATAATACACGACCGGCGACAACAAACTTACCTGTCTTGCCCAGATAATAGAGCCTGAAACAGGTGGTAGATCCCGTACACAATAATACACGACCGGCGACAACAAACTTACCTGTCTTGCCCAGATAATAGAGCCTGAAACAGGTGGTAGATCCCGTACACGGCTCATTTTACAAGCTTTACTCTGAGGGTATTGCACCTTGAAAAAAAATCACAAGTTTTGATAAGTGATAGATTTGGTGGGACAATAATTGATCGCATGATACTCTAAATATAGATTTGTGTGGCAAGTTATTGACAAAAATGAAATTCCAGGATTTTAGGACCATCATATCAAAGTGGTTTTAAACCAATCAATGTACTTGTGTGTATATACTCTTACTCTTGGCAACACATCTGCACAAAATTGGCCAAAGAATAGTTGAGAATACCTGTCAGTCTGATAGGTATGGCAAGACTGACCATGTAGTATTTAACTATTTCACGATATTAAATGTGCATGTAATACCACATCTATATACATTTCTGAATAAGTAACTACAAGTATTACCAACAAACTAGGAAGACAACTTACCTTGAATTTATCATGAAGCGATTCAATATCATCTTTGACTCGCTGTATCAACTGTGTTTGATATTCTCGAATGGCACCTCGAATATGGGGTCGAACAAACAAAGCATTGAATCGAGAGAAAATGCGGAACATCTCATTTGCATTTTTAGCTGTTCCAAGTTGATCACGTAAACGAGCAGTGATTCTGGTTTCAACACGGTCAATACGCTCATCATATCTACAATAATAAAGTAAAGAATCAAAACAAGTAACTTTTACTGTTATATACAGCAAATTTTATAAATATTCTTTTATTATGTCACGGCACACAGAAATAGAACATGTATTAAACCATACAAGTTTCCTTGTCCTGTAATTACACAGTAATAGACACTGTTATGTCAATTACCTTTTAGTTGCAGCTTCCCAGGACTCGGTACCTTCTTTAGATACGTCCAATCCATCAACTTCTTTGGCATTCTCGTATGCTAGATTTACTTCCTACAAAGCAAGACTATATATTAGTATTTACAAAGCTATATATGTAGTGTTCATAATTTATATGTACTGTATACAAAGACTAATAAATTTACAAGCACATGCATTTTCATTATTTGCAATGTAATTGTACATGAAAAATATCAATTGCCATGTTTTCACTGTAATATAAAGTTGACTTGTTTTTAATCGTAATTGCTCATAACATTGAGGTAAATTAATGAGATTAGCGGTGTCTTGGTAATGCTGAATCAGTTCTATCAAGGCAGATGCTTTTGAACTGACCAGGGGATGTGCCACAATATAGATTTGAACAAGATGAAATATTTCAGTTGTAACCATGCTTCAACACCATCAAAACGACTGTCACTATGAGTTCAACTAATTTGTACAAAACTATTTTCTCTGAAGAATTTAATGACTGCGTTATACATGATTTCAGGCTTTGCTATCGACTACATTGTATTGTCAGCAAAACATTTTTGACGCTTTTCAATTATTACCAATTTTAAATATATCAAACTTTTTGTATACGGCAATATCAATGCACTCACAGCAACATTGACATTTGTGTTATTTGTAACTATAAACCAGCATACTATAAATAGTTAAGTGGATACCCCTAATAAACTTGCAGGGTTTCGTCTGCATGTCATTCATGCCATAGTCACTAATTTTAGTGAGTGCATTTCGATTTTTTTTACATAAACATGCAAAATATAAACATGAATACTATTGGTATATGAACAACTTAAAACTAGAAACAAACAAAGTAATGAAGTAATGAAGTGAGAAAGTTGGCTAACCTCAATTGCATTTGCATCTGCTGCTTCTAATACAAGTTCATTGACCTTAGTACTAGGGACTTCATCTGGAGCAGCCCCAGGGCTTGGTGGTGTGGTTGTAGATGTAGTTGTTGCTGGTCTCAAAACTCTAACAATGACAGCACGTAACTGTTCATGCTGACGACGGAATCTAATAATATATAGAGAAATGTATGGTTTAAGTTACAGTGTTCAAATGATCATTGTTTGTAAGGAAAGTTGACAGACAGACTGACACAGTAAACTATATGCTGAGCTGACAGTAATTGCATTATATAGTCCCTTAGAGTTAAAATGGCCCCCATTACACCATCTGACCATGATCAGTGCACATGCATCCCATGATGCATTGATGTATGTGTGAAGTTTGAATGAGACTAGCCCAGGCATGTCCGAGAATACAGGTGGAATTGCATATTAAAACGCACGTTTTTGGACTTCCTCCAATAACATATTTATCATGAAATTGACTTCTGTGAGACAATGAAACTTTTAGTATAGTAAATGGCTGTTCTGCCATTATGTCAAAAGTATTCATTTGTGTGGCATTTTCCACATTTTTAGCACCCAAACTAGTGTAAACTAAACAGTTTGTCTGTAGTATTCAGCAATGTGTAAAATCACATACATTGTATTCATTCATTTGTTTAATCACACAAACATGACTTTAGCAGATACACATTAGATAAAGATTATCACATTGCCAGTCGGTTTATTGTTAGTCCAAGATTTTTTAGAATAATAATCCATCCTAGTAATACCAAGAAAAGTTAGTAGTATGTTAATAGAAAGCAAACCAGCATGGTCACACTGAGTGTTGAGCTATATTTCAAATGCACACAAGTATGCAAGTGACTTACTTTCTCATTTGATCTAATCTGGCCTGTAATCTTTTATGAGCAGGATTCACTCTCCATACCATTTTCAAACTTTCCTCTCTTTTCTTTTTCACTATGTCTCTAAGTAACCCCTGTAGTTTCTCATATTCATCATCCCAAGTTCCAAATACTTCAAAGGATGCTGACATCACTTTCTCAAACTCATCAAATGTGATGTGCATCAGACGTCGTGTTCCAAGAACCTAAAATGAAAACAAACAATTATATTTTTGATGAAAACTGTTTAATTTGTTAAGATTTTAAGGTAACAGGTATTGTCATATGCAGGACTAAAATCAGTACATGAAGTGAGGTAACATGTATTGTCATACGCAGGATTAAAATCAGTACATGAAGTGAGGTAACAGGTATTGTTATATGCAGGACTAAAATCAGTACATGAAGTGAGGTAACCGGTATTGTTATATGCAGGACTAAAACCAGTACATGAAGTGAGGTAACAGGTATTGTTATATGCAGGACTAAAATCAGTACATGAAGTGAGGTAACAGGTATTGTTATATGCAGGACTAAAATCAGTACATGAAGTGAGGCAACAGGTATTGTTATATATACAGGACTAAAATCAGTACATGAAGAGAGGCAACAGGTATTGTTATATGCAGGACTAAAACCAGTACATGAAGTGAGGTAACAGGTATTGTTATATGCAGGACTAAAATCAGTACATGAAATGAGGTAACAGGTATTGTTATATGCAGGACTAAAATCAGTACATGAAGTGAGGTAACAGGTATTGTTATATGCAGGACTAAAACCAGTACATGAAGTGAGGTAACAGGTATTGTTGAATTGGGGGCATTTCGCCCATTTACCACTTCGCCCGAACGGTTTCGCCCGATTACCTGTTCGCCCGATTGCCATTTCGCCCGATTACCAGTTCGCCCGATTACCAGTTCGCCTGATTCCTCGTATGTTTGGTATTTACGTGTAGTCAAAACAAGATAACGTAGAAGTCGAAATTTGTTTTTATAAGGTGACGAACGTGAAGTTTACAACGGGGTTGTAACGTAATTTTATGCCGTTGCAGCCATCTTGTGTGGGTCATACCATTTGTGTATCGGGAGGAAACAATGAGTTGAGGGACAGTCACACCTTTTTGTTTGATGGTGGTAGTTCCTTTAGTTAAATGCACCGTGACCCTTTAAAAACACATTTTTTTTGTATAAGAATGTAAACCTCTGTTTTTAATGTAATTCCAATCTGATAAAACTTTATTTTTCCTTTAATATTAGCATTTTTTTGTAACTTGACACAGTAAAACACAGAGCTACAACAATTCAACAAATTGAGTTGAGGAAAAACTTTTGAAATATTTTTCTAGTATTGTGTTTGTTTTCCCCAGTTTCACTTCCAATATTGCATGAACTTTTTGTTTCCTGGATGGGGGGAGCAATGAAAGTAAAGATATAATGCATAATTTACATTTACATTACATTTATTTATTTACCCTGGAATAAAACTAAAGTGGCACACCAGGTGCTAATACAATCGAGCAATATAAAAACACACACTGTACAAGACAATTACAAGAAATCACAAATACCAAAAATATATATATTAGTACATGTATTACATATGGAATGTCTACGTAGAAATTGAAATACAAATTAAAAATTTACATCTTTGATTCTTTTTAAAAAAAATAATGTAATAATAATTTTATTATTCAGTGATAAAATGTCTTGAAAAAAAATAAAACTCAACCTAGAAACAAACTTCCAGACAAAATATTTGAAAATAGTTATGGCGAATAAATTAAAACTGCTTTAGCAAAATGTTAATATACTTCCAATCAAATCAGGACACCTAAGTTAAATCAGGCCCTAATACTATATTAATTACGGTATATACAATGTTGTGTTTCTATTTAAATTTAAAAGTATGGTCGCAATTTAAAATAAATTAGTGTAATTCTGGCCCTAATACTATATTAATTATATACATTGTTGTGTTTCTATTTCAATTTAAAAGTATGGTCGAAATTTAAAATAAATTAGTCTAATTCTGGCCCTAATACTATAGTAATTATATACAATGTTGTGTTTCTATTTCAATTTAAAAGTATGGTCGAAATTTAAATAAATTAGTGTAATTCTGGCCCTAATACTATAGTAATTATATACAATGTTGTGTTTCTATTTCAATTTAAAAGTATGGTCGAAATTTAAAATAAATTAGTCTAATTCTGGCCCTAATACAATATTAATTATATACAATGTTGTGTTTCTATTTCAATTTAAAAGTATGGTCGAAATTTAAAATAAATTAGTCTAATTCTGGCCCTAATACTATAGTAATTATATACAATGTTGTGTTTCTATTTCAATTTAAAAGTATGGTCGAAATTTAAATAAATTAGTGTAATTCTGGCCCTAATACTATAGTAATTATATACAATGTTGTGTTTCTATTTAAATTTAAAAGTATGGTCGAAATTTAAAATAAATTAGTCTAATTCTGGCCCTAATACTATATTAATTATATACAATGTTGTGTTTCTATTTCAATTTAAAAGTATGGTCGAAATTTAAATAAATTAGTGCTGTTCGGTATAACGACAAAAATAAATAAATAAATAAATATGCCTTATATAACTTGAAGGTGCTTAACTGAACTGGTATGATATATAAAACTTGAAAGTGCTTAATTAATGAACTATAATGTTGAGATATATAAAACTTGAAAGTGCTTAATTAATGAACTATAATGTTGAGATATATAAAACTTGAAAGTGCTTAATTAATAAACTATAGTGCTGAGATATATAAAACTTGAAAGTGCTTGATAATCAGTAGTGTCGAACAGTCAATAATAATAGCGCTGTTGTTGAAAAAGTCTGGCAGAGATGTTCTCTTGATGGATATCAATCGAAGTGGTTGTAGTCCTCTCAAAACGACGTCATTATAAACATTATTTGGACGCTGTGATTGGCTAGTGCATCATTAGCATATCTTGTCCTGTGGGAGTGTCCACGATAAAATTAAGGGGCCCCTCATACGAGCGTTCACTGTGACGTCACTGGTAGGCTAAATCGAGATCAGCGATTGGCTGGACACGCAATTTTGTTTACCAATGGACGAAATACGCGGGTGAGAACATTAACACTCAATGATATTGTGCTAATACTTAACACCTATTCCTCTAG